TATATACGTTTCAGTTTTCCTTAGCATTTGGCAGGGGGGATCGTAACCTCTTTTAGTGAGAACCAGTGTGACTGGCCTGCCAACGGGATGCTAAGGTTTTTATAGTAAAAGTTATCAGTCACTTTCGTTAATGTAATTTCGTTTTATTTATCCGTATATCAAAAATCACTATGGTGTAGTCACTATAATGTCTAATGACGTAATCAATAAACTAACTACTATGATGTAGTCACTATAATGACTAATGAGGTAATTAATACACTAACTACTATGATGTATTCCCTATAATGGCTAATGACGTAATCAATATACTAACTACTATGATGTATTCACTATTATGTCTAATGACGTAATCAATACACTAACTACTATGATGTAGTCACTATAATGACTAATGAGGTAATTAATACACTAACTACTATGATGTATTCACTATAATGTCTAATGACGTAATCAATACACTAACTACTATGATGTAGTCACTATAATGACTAATGAGGTAATTAATACGCTAACTACTATGATGTATTCCCTATAATGGCTAATGACGTCATCAATATACTAACTACTATGATGTATTCACTATAATGGCTAATGACGTAATCAATATACTAACTACTATGATGTAGTCACTATAATGGCTAATGACGTAATCAATATACTAACTACTATGATGTAGTCACTATATTGGCTAATGCCGTAATCAATACACTAATTACAATGCTATAACTATATACGTAGTGCTGGAATCTGAACGTCCCCCTCCAGGACGATTACATGACAGAGTGGCACGAAATGCTGGGATGAATCTGAGCGCCCCCCCCCATTTGAACGATTATACGACAGAGTGGCACGAAGTGCTGGGATGGAATCTGAGCGTCCCCCTATTGGACGATTGCACGACAGAGTGGCACGAAGTACTGGGATGGAATCTGAGCGTCCTCCTGTTGGACGATTAAACGACAGAGCGGCACGAAGTACTGGGATGGAATCTGAGCGTCCTCCCCTTAGTGGACAATTACACGACAGAGTGGCACGAAGTACTGGGATGGAGTGTGAACGTGTTCCCACCACTGAACGAGTTCCCACCACTGAACGATTACACGACAAAGTGACACGAAGTACTGGGATGGAGTCTAAACGTGTTCCCCCCCACTGGACGATTACACAAGTGGCACGAAGTGCTGGAATGTAATCATTAAAGCATCATTGATATGTAGTTGCGTTTATTTGCCACGTATGATATACATATGTGTAGCATAACATACCAGAATTTAGATTGTACATTGCATATCTTGTCATGGTTTATCGAGCATTAAATTATATGTCGACAGTAATGTATATCAGCTTTCATGTTTGTTTTACTTAATTTCTTGACACATTATTCATTGCATTTTTAACAAACTACTCCAGAATAAGGGTTCCTGGCTTGGACTAGCTTTAGTACTTCAATATAGGTGTATACAATGGTGCTCAGGAAGCATTTGGGCCAATATGAATTTTGGGCCCTACACAAAAAATACCAAAATACACACCAAAACCTCAAGTAATAATTCGTCTCGTATTGATTTGTTGTTTAGAACACATGTTCTAATTTTTTTTATTTTACAACAGCAGTTAAATAGTATATATTTATCTATGTTATAAAATACTGCATTTATTATGGGAGATTATATTCTACCTGCCAATTCCTTCAAACATGCCGTCACAAAGCTAAAAATATAGATAGTTATGCTAATTTAACATGCCCTGAAAAACAGTTTGTAACGTTGCAGAAGTCTATTCATCGTGTGGGATGACAACACAGAGAAAGTATTCACTTTCCATTGATATAGTCACCAACACTAGAAATAGGAGAGACAAAACCAGGAAGCATACACAGAAAAATTATCTCAATTTATTTCAAATTAATAAACAATACATAATTAGTATATGCATATGAACACGTTATCCCTGCAAATATATTAATGGAAGAAAACCTAAACTTAGCTAATTACATTTTGAATTCAACATATTCTAATCAGTTCCTCAATAATGTAATTTGCGAATTCGTCCGTAAGCCAATGATATCAACAATAAATGAACTTCAGCAGTGACTATCAATCAATACAAATACACAAATGCAAAACAAGAACACGCATGAATACATCAACATTTTCAGATAGCAGTTATCAAGAAAGTGAGGTAGTAAACACCATCATGTATCATGATCATATATACTTGTATATTGTATATATTATGTCCGGTTTAATAACATTTAGCTCATGTGAAATGTTCCAGTGCATTGATACAATTAACTGGAGTGTTCAATGTGACCAGGTTAAAAGTTGAGGACACGGTTGAACTTAGAAGTTGATTCTTATAAAACATGAATAATAGTCGTAATCAATTTAGAGTTGGTGGTCAGTAGGTCACACGGTGATTACAGATCCCAGTTATAGTTTGAATGTACCCGAGTTAACAGAAAGAATTGCTATACAGTATATCAGCATAGTTCAGCCATCACATGACACCGATATAAATATGAACTGATGTCACCACAGAGTCACTGAAAATCCGAATTGAGACTCTCACTGCATGTGACATCTTGAAATACATTTGGAAGCGTCAATTATTGTCCGGCTTACCGATGGTACAGTTCTTTGAGTTTCCGTTTTCATAAACTAGCTGGATACATCTTAGTGTGAACGATTAAATCGCAGTGTTATTAACCTTCACTTCAGAGGTACCAAGTTCGGGGAATTCTCCACCTTTTTATCGAACAAAGACACACATAGAATCGAATCGATTCACATTTGGTCTCAGCCGCGTTGTTACTCTCTCACGGCCGTATCAAGAATCTCTCGAGACTGCGCCTCGTCGAGAGCTTGCTACAACTAACTGAGATCAGCTTTATTCACATTCCAACTGTTAACCAATTACAGAGAAGTTAAAAGACTCTAAGGCGTGGCCTTCACACATATAGCCAATCACGCAAAGTACTCAACACGCCATAATGTCAGATTAATTGCCCCCGATTCGGGACATAACTCTCATACTTATCGTCGCCACAAGGGCTAAAACAACACTTCATAGTAGACCATTATATCAGCCAGTTGTTCCAATCACTAATTCCCTAACATACGAATGAACCTGACCATGACATGTCACGAGCAGGTGTGGGTCATCCAGGGGTCATCAGTGAAAATCGATATTACTGCAAAAAGCGGCCTCACCGAAATACATGAAAATATAAATCATCACATTAGCATGATTTCATTCTAAGCAGGAATGCGACTGCTTCCCTCAGACCTGTGAGAAAATATGCATGAAAAATTATATCTGTCGACAAATTCTCGTCAAGCTAAACTGACATATTAGTCGAGCGGCAAAACCAATAAAATTACGAGCTTAATGACAGAATACGAGCGTAAATGAAAGATATGTCGAGTAACTTAGCAACACTCTCATCTATATCAAATATCCTTGCCAACAATTTATACTAATCTCGGACGCGTGACTCAATCATTCAAAAACAAGTATTATGGTTCCGCAAATTTGATATTCACATTTTCGAATAGCTAGAAAATAACATATGTATGTTTTTAATTACAGAAATTGTCAGTGTCAGGCTTTGCACATAGCGTTGGCACGCGTACTAGGTGTTTGAGGTATCACTATATTTCGTTTTGTTGAGAGATCCACCACGTTTCAGACATTGTAGTCAAGGGGTAACGGCAAGAAGTGTTCAGACATCGATAGCTTTCAACCTGACTGAGCTGACTATTCACCTCATCATTCACACATTCCAAAGACGCAATGATCGATAATATCTAAACCAGCTTTGCTGTATTTAAATTAGTGTTTTTAAACGCAGTGTCATTTACTAGTTTATTTGTTCTCAAGCCTGCCCGTTTACTAGGAAAGTACTCTTGTATTGTTATCTCTGTTAGCGTTCTTGTAATCGTACTTGAAATATCAGCTGAATGATATTGATGCCATCTGAGATCATCTGTGTAACAGTGTTATTGTATTTAACCACAAGCTTATTATATCTGTCAAAAATACCCATTGAAATTAATAATTTTGACGAAAGAGACAGTCATTAAAACAGTATGCATATGTACTACTTGAACCGTCATAGCGGATAAGCTGGGAAATGTAGGCTATTTGAAGATTAGAGTATTGCTGCAAAGTTGTAGAAACAATGAAGAAAGTAAACTTGCACCTATTTTGTAGAAAACTGGCACCTAGATTCAAACTCAAGACTCAGCGTTTACTATATTATTAACAGAATAGAAGTTAGTGTATTGATTACGTTATTGGACATTATAGTGACTACATCATAGTAGTTATTGTACTGATTACGTCATTAGTCATTATTGTACGTATGTGAAAATGTCATGACTGTATAGTCTGTGACTCCATACAAGATACAACTGTTTTCATATACTCACTTGGAAGAAGAAGGGTCATTACCCAAGCACGATAGTCGAATACAAGAAATCGCTCACTATAGAGTGGTCTGTTAAATTATAGAAAAATATCGAGCTTGGAAAATCAGTCAACGGCATATAGAACGTAATGGATAATCTGTCTAGAGATCAAGTAAAATAAAATCAAAGAAACAAACAATCATCAGAGCTATTATACGATGTTGCTAATATGAATATATACAA